CATTATCAGAAAGGCTGCGGCTATTCGGACCCGGTTCCCTTAGATAAATGGATATTCGGATGTGATTTTTGGTAGTTTACTATAGACAACCTTAAGAAGCGAGTTTATAAACATGAAGTCCGTTCAATTATCGTTCCTGTGATACCAAATTTGGTCTTACAAACCCATCAATAATATTTTAAATATTTAAAAAAAAAATAATAAACTCAATCTTTCGCTCCTTCTCCAGGGTCCGAATAACCACTTCGCATCAAAAATGAATTGTTAAAAGTTCCAAAATTCAGCCTCCAACGTACACCGAGTGGGTGGTAATCATTCATAATTTGAATGGTTTATGATCCATAAGAACGAAGCACTGATTGCATAACTTGAATCGCCTTGTATTTTGTATCATAAAAAGCGAACATAGGTTAACTGGTCTGAAACGCTTAATAAAAATTAACAGTGTATCCTTTCTGAATACATATCTTTATTGGGTCTCAATATGCTTGTATCTAAATATTCTACGTTTCTATTAAGTCCAACAGTTTGATTATCTAAATGCTAATCGTCTATTGATCCTCCGTAGATTTTATTTGTTCTAGGACGCGTTCACTATAGTTAAACTTCATTCATTCTCCTTTAGCACCCTGTGCCCGCAGCTCTCGTGGCCTATGGATTATTTAAGGACATGAAGAGAAGAGAAAAAGGAGACACGACCTCTCTAAAAGAGAATATGAAGTGAGAATAAATTAGGCTAATGGTATTTTAAGACTGATTACTTTTTTTTTTCATGCTAATCTAAGTGAAAAAAAATGTAAATACAATAAATATATTAGAGTCCAAATGGCTTTGTTTAAAAAAAAAAAAGAGAAGAGTTGATGTCAATTGTAAAAACGATTTGCACGATACGCGTTTAAAGCTGAACTAAAATGTTAACATTGATTCGAAAGGTATATTCTTAATGCGCTGGCTTATTTCATCAACACCAGTCACTTCATTTTAAGGTAAAAAAAATGTTCACATGTTGTGAAATCTGCTTTTTTTCCTACGGGCTGTAAATATATATTTAAGAGCAAAACTTATATTAAATCATTAAGAAAACGTTGTTAATTTTTTTTAAAGTTCAATGCCAGCATTTTCTTACTGGTATATAGTAGACGCCAGGTGCCGACTGTGTAAAACCAAGCTGCTGTAGCCTTGATGGACGAAAACCCGATCTTTAGTTTATTACGTTTTCGACCATTGAAAAATAAATCAAGCATGATACCAATATATTGGGCATTTAGATGGTTGGCTTGATCGGACATTTGTCTCCCTTCGTTTAAAAGCATGAAGTGAAGTGCTTTACTTTAATTCATGTGATTATCCATTCTAGAATGGGTTTAATATATATTCTACATCTTGTTTGACCCAATATACCTTCCCATGAATCGGCATCATTGTTTAAAAAAGTCTCCTTAGTTGAAGTATTTGGAAAATGGGATAACCTTGTTAGAATGGGATGTGAGGTATAGATGTGGCCATCGTTTGTTGTAGGATAAAAGTAGTGAATAGTGTATCGCAGTTAAAGCGGACAAGGTTTGTAAAAAAATAATAGACAGTTTTCATATTGTTTGTTAAATAAATATCAAAAACTCTTAAAATCTATTCAACTCTGCAGCGATTAGAAAAGCAATCCCAATGCTCTCTGACCAGAAACTAAAACAAACAACAAATGAAACAAAACGAAATGGATTAGTTTTAATTTAAAATCATTTTTATTCTTTTTTTTTTAAAATTGAACCAGAGGCGTAGCTAGAGTGTTTGGCGCCCTGGGACAAGATCATATTAAAGAGCCCCTCTTTCTTTTTTAACTGTAACACCTATTATTTTCATCAATAAAATAATATTAAAACACATTTTGGGCCCACGTACTAATCTGGCGTCTAGAGTCACATTCTCCCGCCGCCTTAATTACACCTCTGTAATGAATATCCTATTGCTATTTTTCTCTAGCACATACAGGAAATTATCGATAGAAGCAGTCAACAGCAGCTATGTGAAGAATAGCACAGGAACATTTAATATGTTGATGGAGACAGTGGAGGAATGGGGAAATACCAGTTGTGCACAAATAGCTTTAGTCACAGGCAACAAAGAGTTTTTGTCTGAACAGCCTTTGGTAGATCTCCAGGGTCGTCTTTGGCGCGCACAGGTAAAACAAATGAACAGCCGTTGGTAGATAGATCTCCAGGGTCGTCTTTGGCGCGCACAGGTAAAACAAATGAACAGCCTTTGGTAGATCTCCAGGGTCGTCTTTGGTGCGCACAGGTAAAACAAAGTCATCAAGATATTAAAAACAGTCAATAATGTTTCCCTTAAAAAAACTTGGAACCGTAATTTAATCATTTTAGCCACAAGGGAATGCTAAATCGGATTCTAAAAATTAGCTAAGGTTCAAAGAGTTCATCAATTTAACCATTGCATAATGACCGACCTCTACCAACAGTCACCCATTTTAACGTAAAGACGCATGATAATACACGCGTGAAACATACTGATAATGGACCATTCATTCTCCAATTGATGCGAGTTGGTAGAAATAAAAGAAAACCATTTCCATAAGAAGAGATGCGAAAATATCACTTTTTAAATTTTTATTTTTTTTAAAAGTCCTCCTTTGATTTTACTTTTTACTCCTGAAAATGCCAAAGTTAAGTGAAATAGAGATTTGTCGATGCTTAACACCCGGATAGGCGTGAGTTTATATTTGTAGTAAATGTAAGGACTGTGCTCAACCTGCGTGAAGGAACTAGAAGAACAAGGTTTGTGGAAGCTTGAGGAAGGCTCTTAGCCAAAAACATTCATACTACATTGCCCTGCCCTTATATTTCACGCTTCCACATACCTACCTTGTTCTTTAATTATCTTTTAAATTCAGAAATATGTGGACATATTTTTTTTTTATATCTTTACCTCCTAGCGAGCTGGCTTGACGCAAATGGGATGTTATGGCTAGAACGTATCCTACCAACACATATTATTACGTATCAACTAACTAATGTATAGAAAACTTTGCGTATGAGATATTAGAAAAAATAATTCTGTACTTTCCAGTAATTAGCTTTTATTAAAACTTGTCACCATTGTTATTTTCACAGCCACTTGCAGCTGAAAGGTAAGTACACCTTAATGAATATGAGTTCTAAGTATTCAATTCCAAAATCTTTTAACTCAATTTAATATAATTGTTACGTTTAAGCTTGCAAAAAAAAAAAATTAAACATGAACGTAATTCTCCTGAGTATTTATTTTGTTCCTAAGAATTGACGAAGACCGTGGCACTAAAGGAATGCTACACAGGTTATGCACTAAAATCAGGTCACCTAAAGTTCTGTTCTACATTAATTTCGTGAGTTTTTTTTGTTTTTTTGCAGAGTCATGTACATTATTTTTTTTTTTTTAACAAATATATAAAGCAATAGTTTGTTGCAGCCTTTACTTTTAATTAAACCTAAATCGTTTTACTGTAGAGTTAATATATTACATATTTATTTCAACATCATTACTTATTCTGAATAATGCGGCTCAAATAGTTCTCCGTAAATGCAAGTTGAACCATGCAAAAACACTTCTGAGAGAGCTGCACTGGCTGCCGGTCCGCTCTCGTTTAGAGTACAAAATCGCAACTTTTTGCTACCGCTGTTTACATGGCCTGGCGCAGTCCTATCTGAAAGAGCTGCTGACAACTTATGTACCCACTAGACAACTCCGCTCATCAAACAGTGGCAAACTCTTGACACCACGTGTTCGCCTTGAGACTTGCGGAAAGTGCACTTTCGCATTTGCTGGTCCAACAATTTGGAACGCCCTTCCAGTCGATCTCAGAAACAATCAGACACTGGAGTCCTTTAAAACCGATTTAAAGACACATTTATTTCGCAAACACCTTCTGGGATGATTGTCTACCATATTTTCCATTTAATGCATATTAGCTGTGTTGCTCATGGTTGAAATGGGTAGAAAGACTTTGACATTGTATGCTTGTAATTAGTTTTTGTAGTGTTGCGTTTGTTTTAAATATGGTAAATTATAGATTTTTTTTTTTTTTACTCTTGTACCGCGCTTCGAGCCTTTGGGGATGAAGCGTGTTTTTGAAATACACTTTATTATTATTATTATTATTATTATTCTGAAACCTGCCAAACTTATAATTGTTCGCCTTTTGTTTTAACGTGCAGGTTCTCTACTTTGCTTTCCATATCATGTATGGGATCCAACTGCTTTACTTTTTGAAAGCTTCACGGTTCGTAATCCTGGAGTACCTGCCTCCATTGTGGGTCTTGACACTGACACTACAACTGATACAGAGAGCGGTAATTACATGAGTAATGAAATTAAAATTTTAGAAATTTTCATTAAAAAATAATGCACCACCTTTTAGTGGAAGTAATCAAATTTATTTTTAGTAATTTTATTTTACAAGCTTTTTATAAGATATACATATATTTTTTATATTATATAAATGCACTAGACCATCTGAGATGGTCAGATGGGACTGAGTATTGACCTTGAGTAAATTGATAATAACACTATTTAAGAAGATAAACAAAACGAGAATTATTTCCTAGATCTGGCCCACCGCACATTCAGTTGGAAAGATTTGATATGACCAAAAATAAAAAAAATAAATCCATATCGAATACACACATTTACAGTTCATGTATTTAAAAAAAGAGAACATTTTGTGTCATCTAATATTACAATAACTAAAAAAAAAGTTTATACATTTATGTTAAATACGTTTTTAGAAGTTTCTTAAAGTCAACTAAAAAGTGAGGCTATGTAGGAAGTGATAGAGTAAGGAAGAATTGATTTGCGTGCTGAGCGGGATAGAAGAAGTAAGGAGGGTGGTAATAAATTGAGAAAAGTATTTCGGTCGGGAGGGTGGTCGCAACGAATAAAATAGCGATAATTGGAGGGAGAGAGTTGAAGTTCAAATGATTATTTGACTTTTTTTTTCATCAGTTCCCTTTCAACAGACATGTCCTAGACATCTATTTTGGCATAGATATCTGCTGCGTCCTCTTCTTCTACGTGGCTATCTCTCTACGCATAGCAGCCCTACTCAATCAAGGTAATTGGGCCTTGATGAATACCGCCCGGGTTTTCTACAGCCTGGATTATATAGCGTTCTCACTGAGACTGTTCAAGTTCTTTTACGCCAATCAATACTTAGGCCCCATAACAGCTACGCTCTTTGTGATGGTAAGTCGTCTTTCATGATGCTAATTAACCAGTGCCATTTTTTTGTTAAATTGGTCATTTAAAATATTGTGTTATGTTTCTTTAAATTGGGTCTTAATTTTGTAACAGTAGTTTCCTGTTCAAAGATGATATAAACGGCAAGCAAATCGAACAAAGAAACATTAACATGCCCAGTGTAAAGATGTCGATTTCATTATCGGCCTTATCGGCCATCTGCACACCACAGCCAATTTCACAATTCTTTCTATACGATGATTAAAATGATCATAGTCGATTTTGACTAAAATATAAAATGAGTAAAACAAAGTAAGGTTAAACCAGAAAAAAAGGAACGCAACAAAACAACGAAAGTGTCGGCAAGAAGCCTTCGTCAGCTAACAAAACATCAGAAAAAAACAGAATAAAATTAACAAATAGCACATAGCTTTGAAGTAGTATCCATGGGCAGCAAATGAATTGTGCTAATATCCCCTTATTAGCTTGATTTTGAAAAACGGACTTTAACTATATAAATTTAACCAAATGATAAAACAAACATTAGGACTCTGATTAACCTGATCGACGATAAGTTAAAAAAACATCAAGCAAATAGACACAAAAAAAAAACAAAAAAAAACAGGATTCATCTTTATAAATTATAATTGAATTATCGGCTTATCAGCCATTTTCGCACCCGAAACTAAGTTCACAATCATTGCATATAATGTGTTCATGGTCAGTTTCGACTAATGAACTATGGACACATGAATAATTATTTTAATAGATTTTGTTAAAAACAAACACCGGTTCCTGAAATATTGAATTAGTTTTGCTGTTATTTTTTCACCTGATTGAAATGAAAACCAAACAATTGCAAATTGCGGTTGAAATTAATAACCAAAAATTTTGTATATTAACCCTTGAAACACATGCTAGTATTTATTCTAATGATATAAAGCAATGTTGGAAAAGTACTCTTCAGATTGATCCGATTGCCTATATTTCATATTATTTAGAGAGCCACAACATATTTTTTTAGAAACACAAAGTTTTTGTTAAACTTTTATCAGTAACATTTCAGGCCGCAAGGAAAAAGTTTAAGTGGTTAGATGAAAAATTATAAAAGTTACTTTGGCAAATGTAATACAAATATTGCAGAAATAATAAAAATTGTTTTGTTCAATTAAAGCCACCGTTATGAGGCGCAAGAGACGCATGCGCTCTAACAAATGCATTAGCCAACCTTTGGGATAGACTTGTTACGTTTCAGAGTTGTTAACTACGAATTTCCAAAACATATTTTACTAAACCGTTTAAAAAAAAAAAAAAATATTATAATATTGAGACGCTGTCAAATAAGGATCAAATAAGATGTAATTAATTTTATGTGCATTATATGTATCTGTTTTTTAAACATATGAATTTCTATTTTTACTTTTAAATAACAGTTTTGGACTTTGATGAGGTTTCTGGCAATAATCGGGGTTTTTCTGCTGGGGTGTATGGTGGCCACCGAGTCAGTCATGTACCCCGAGGCACATTTCAACGTGACGCAACTCTACACACTGTTCCGTAAGCCTTACTGGAGCATGTTCGGGGAATTCTTTCTCAGTGAAATTGAAGGAACAGGTAAACATGTTGATGTGTCTCTCTGTTACGATCTTCCTAAAGTAAATAACTTCTACAATGTTGGGATCTTCCTTCATTTCACTTGAACAACTCCTGCAGTAGACACGTTTGTCGAGGGCAGTAGACTCCCCGTTGTTTAAGGGTTACCTTACTTTATACATCACGAAATACAGTTTTACGATCTTGATATTATCACATTTCAATAGCTTCGTTATCAAGGGGATCATTTTTTACCTAACAAAAAATTGATTCATGTCAAATGTCTCTTTATTAAACAAACAACTCCGAAATTATAACACACCATTATATAAGTACTTAATCACTGCTATAAAAAAAAACATAACACATTCATTTCTCATTCCCAAAATACATGGCAAAATACTAAGCCCACAGAAACGGCTTCAGAAAAAAAAAAAACTCTAAACAACAAAAACGCACACACAAAACACGAAAAAAGTCATGACCACTTTGTTGAATCCTAGTCTGGACGAGATATCAAAACAAAAACACAAATATACACAAACTCAAGCATGTATTTACACACACACACTCTCTTTTTCCACACATGCATACACATGTACACATACAGACTTACACAGAAGCAAACAAAATCAAATTATGACGAATATGTATGTAGCACACGTCGATACACACGTCGATTCGGAGGCAATGCATTTCTAAATAATTTTTGATATTCATGTGCAAAAATACACGTGTCATTTTGTTTTTAAAAGTTTTTTTTTCACTCACTAAAATACGCAATTACCATTGAGAACCATTAGAAACCGGTGACTCATTTACAGTAGCAATTTTTAAAAAAACAATTTTTTTTTATTGCTATTTTTCATGTAAAAGTTTTAAAGAAATGTTTAAATCATTTCTTTGTTATTATTGATTGGTTTGAACAATCATTTCAGAGATTACCAATAAATTGTAAATCGCTATGCTCTTAACGAGCTTTATCAACTGAAAGTGTTAATAAATTAGTTGGAACAAAGTGAACAAAAGAAGACAAAAAGACCACTTACACATTAATTAGATTGATTGGAAGGATCCGGCTCACTCGACTTAAGAGCCAGTGATATCTATAGTACACAACAAGAGGGAGGGGGGCGTATTATTTTTTTGTTTATTTGGAAAACATGGAGCGATTTCATGACGCCAGTAACACCTTATCTAAAGCTAGTGGACAGGAGTTCAATCGCCAAAACTAACGCCTAGACAAGTAAAAATTATCAACGGCATCCTTGATGTATGGGTTGCTGATGAAATGAGCAACGTCCCTCACAATTTAAAAAAAAAACAATAAAAAAAAAACAACAGCTTAAGTCAAGGCATACTTTAAAAAATGTCAAGATTATCTTCGCGTGCGGAGAACGAACACCATATGAAACTATATTGTGTGCGCCATGATTGCTTTAAAAAAAAAGAACAATTAAATTTTCATTAAATTAGATGTCAAATTAATGATAAATATTAGTTAATTATTGTATAATCTTTTTGAATCGGACAATAAGCACGCCTTTTGATCATTATAATGTGTTTTTTAATCTGCTTTGTAACACGTATTTCTCCCCATAGACAACACTTGCACAAACAACCTCACTGATGATCGGTGCGTTTCCTCCGTTGGGCAATACTACGGGCCCGTCATACTGGCTGCGTTTGTTCTCGTTGTGAACTTGCTCATCTTCAGCTTGATTATTGCTAAATTCAAGTATGTTTTCGTCATATCTGAATTTTTTATTTGTAACCTAATAAAGTGTGTATTATTAAAGTGTATAATAATAGCATTGCATTTTTACTTAAAATCTTTTAAATAAGAATAAAATTCAAGAAAAGAAAAAAAATCCATAAAAATGTGTTTTTTAAAAAAAAGTTTTACTCATGGAGTTTTAAATTATGGGTAAGTGTCAATCGTAATAGCTTAAAACAAAGAATATATATATATATATATATATATATATATATATATTTATTTATAAAGTATTTATAATCTGAACTTGAAAAAGCTTTGGTTTCATGTTTTAATGCATGCATTGTTCATGAAAGTCTGAACTTGAGATACATGTACTCGTTTCAGTTCAAACATTACATACATGGAAGAGAAATCTGTGGAGATCTGGCGTCACCAAATGTTTAAATTAACAATGGAGTATCACAGAATCATTTTCCTACAGCCGCCCTTACTTCTCTTGTGTGTAGTGTTTGGAGTGTTTCGCTACCGTGAAGAGAGTGGGTGGACGTTTAACTTTTTAAAATGACTCGTGGTGTCGCAAAATAGGGATATGAAGCGCAGTTTTGTAAATGCTAATTCGTATATTAATTGGAACATTAAAATAATAGTAACAAATTGCAAAAATAATAATAATAATACTAACAATTAAAAAAAAAGCCAAAAATAAAGTCATCTAATTTTTTTTTCTCATCAGTTTAAAGAAGAAAATAAAAATGCTAAAACTTTCACAAGTACAATTTTATCGACAACAACAAAAATTGTCTATGTAGGAAATGTATCTAACCTTGTGTCAAAAGCAGTCTCAAAGATTTTTTCGAGAAAAACAAGTAACTTGAAAAGCAATTGTTCTTATCATACAGCTATTGCAAAAGATTTTACACTATTATGATATTAAGTTACAATTAGCATTGTATTTAAAAAATAAAATTTTAAAACTAAACGACCAATTAAAAATTCTTTAAAGTTCTTCAGATTTAAATTCGTCCTCAAAGAACACTATTTCACCGCTTAGACGTGTAACTTGTAAGTTAAAAGAAAATATGTTATTCTATGAGACTATTCAATCAGGTGCAACATATTTCGTACCGGTTAAGCTTAAGTTGATTTTTTACTCTCCATTGAAATTGAAACATATTGATTTAGACAAAACGTTCATTTAAATCGTTATCTAGCCCTTTCAGGTGAATTTGTCTACACCGATTGGGTTAGCAAAATGTATAAACCCTCTACGTATTTCGTTCACATCAAACTTACTACTCTAATTGACAGACAGAAAGAGAGAAGAGTCCCAGGTAGCTTATTTGCAGAAATTTGAACAAGACGTTGTGCTATATTTAAAACAACAAATCGATGACGGACGGTATGTGATATATACAAATATATGTGTATAAATGTTATTTTATATAATATCAAAAAAGGTTGATATTAGACATTTTGCTGACTAAAAAAAAAAAAAAAAAAACTTTAAAAATCTGGTGCCATTTTGAAACTCGTGCAGTTTTCCCGCTAAACCGAAACTTTTGGGAAACGCTGGTCAGGGGAACTCGATAGAAATATGACAAAGTTATTTAAAACAAATTTTGAATATAAGCGTAAAACATTGTAGTTTATATTTGTGTAGAAAGATATATAAAATTGTAAAAGGAATTATTTATTTTACTAGAACCCTATTATTTGTTCTCAGTTTCCATTTAGATATGAAGATTTATTTTTAATATTTCTTTAAAAAATCATTGCAATATATTTTCAGGTTTTTCAAACGCCTCGGAGAATACAAACAAGTTGGTTAGTATGACACTTTGTTTCGAATAAATTATTTAAAGCATTACTGCAATGCCCCAGAGATCACTTATTTTAAATAAGCCACTCTTCCCTAGAGTAAGTTAACTTTCTTATTATGAAATGATATTTAAAAAGACACAGTGGCCGACAAGTTTATTCGATATTACCACCGTACATGCATATTTGTTTCCCAATGTTTATGGGTTCAAAGATCCACTTTGACAAGTTAAGAGTGTCCGGGTCTCGGTTCCACAGACGCAATCTTTATTCCGCTGTAAAAATCAAACACCCATTGAATGAACGGTTCCTCCATTTATCAGAGTATCTTTCTCTGCCATTTATAACTGCCACACACCGATTCCTTGACACCTAGATCGCTTGTGGCGGCGGGAGCTGTCTACCTTTGACAAAATGCACGTACGCGTCCACGGTGCGACTGTTTCAGTAATTTAACAGTTGGCACATGCTGTGAAGTCAGTGGCTCGAGCCTAAACTCTATATGAACCCACATAAAATGAAACAATTGATAGCCCAGCCTTCTTCTCCGAAAAAATGGTCTGGCGTCGTGGGGGGGGGGGGTTGTGTGGCGATGCGTGAAACGAAAATTCCGAAACGATCACCAGCGCTGCCGGGCAACAGGGCAACAGGCTCTCTACCAAAATGCTTATACTCAACTTTCAAGGTGTACGTTATTAACCAAAAATAGTTATTTAGTACACTGAAAATGTATGGTTCAAATGACAGTGGTATTATTATTGAGTGAAACGAAAACCACAATTTAGTCTTTATGTTATTGTGTGGTCAATATCTAAAGAAATATAAAAACGAATAAAATTAAAATCTTAATCGAAGGAAATTTTCCGTATGTATGAGATGTGTGATAAATCTTGAAGATTGGAATGGTTTATTTATTGACAAATCAATTTATAGGAAAAATGGACTTAAACATAAAACTTGGAAGTGTCCAAAAAACAGCAGAGGAATTCTACACAAACTTTGCAAAGGAAATGAGGTACCGGGAGTTTTAAATGACTATAACCGGGAACAAAAAATAATATCACATCGATAGAACATATTTCCTGATTTTTTTAAAACTTTAAAACACATTTTAAGCAGTTCATTTTCATTGCATATTTTAAAGAGATTTAAAAAAAAAGTAAGATACCTATTGATACTTTGATTCACAAACAACAAGCTAACACGTGTTCCTGTTAATTTGCTGAATGTTAATTTAAAAGTTATGCTCTCTATACTCTGCAGACAGTTTGAGGATCTCAAAGCATTGCAAAAGGGGACAAAAGAAGATCTTCTGAAAATAAGTAAACTTTTCTTGTATTTATTAAATTGAGGAGATTTTAACTTTGACTGGTTTGTCATGGAAAGCTTTGGAAATCAATAAAATGCACATCCTTGATAAAAGAAACCGTATTCCCTTTAGATATCTTTGAAAAGGCATTCTATACAAATGGTGTTTAAAAGTATAAATACAAAAAAATTATATCCGTGCCCATCCTCTATCTTCTACTATTTAACCACCTTCATTGCACAGATATTTAGTTCATTTTAGCTGTTACGTGATTTTGTAAGTTTTAAAATTCAAACTTTTTCCCTACAAAATGAGTGGTGGCGCTACCTCAGCAATATACACCATTTAAATACAGAAATAATAAAAAAATGCATGAAAATATACGTTATAACATTTAAATGCTAAAATAAAAAATGATTTCCTTAACATACAAGAAGAAACAGGTAGAAATATTTATTTTTTTTAAAATAGACATGCGCATTCTTATCCAAACAAGTATCGCCCTTGCTTTTCTGTCAATAATTTATATTTATTTTATACTTAGCAATATCATTCTAGCGTGTGATAATTCATCGTGTATTATAAATCAGAACAATCCTGAATATTAAATGGACGAAAAATGTTACAGACAAAAGAAATTGAATGATTTACAGGCAGATCACTTTAGTATTCATTAAAATTTTTATGTGTTTGCTGGATGGGACATGATGTGGCGTAGGTTGCCAAAATAGAAATTTTCATTGCCAGCTTGAGCATGCCAGATGGTACGATGGTGGACAAAAGGAACACTTCAAAGACACAGTGTAAACCTATTTAAAAGCTTAAATCCGGAAACTTGGTGAAAAACATCAGGAACCAATCCAGCCTCTTTGGTGCACTACCGCACAAAAACGCACCACGATATACGAATGCCAACAAAAATACCGTAGCAAAAACCAAAAGACATTATAAAACATTCCGTGTAGCTACTGCATGTGATATTTTCCACATGTCGTGTGCACCTGGTGCACAATAATACTTCGTTCAATAACTGTACACACACAAAGACAGAAACAATATAGTTTGGTTCATTAAAGTTATCCCGATTGAATCGATGAACAAAACATCTTGAAAATACATACTATAAAAAAAAATTTTTTTATACATGCACAATTTCGATTTTATTTAACCCTTGAAGCTTATTCGATATTTCATCCCCATCTCTGTTGCGCTACAGGCTATGTAGGGCTTCGGCCTGTCTCACCACTACCTACCACTCACACCTAACCAATGCTTTTCTTTTCGATATTCACTATATTTTAATAAAACTTGACCAGACATAAGAAAACAATACCTTTTTAGCAGAATTTTATTTTGAAATTTACTTAAAGTACACGATTTAAGATTTCAACGATAAATAGAGGAGCAGTAAAACTTTAAATAATGAGAACACAAAAACAATAGCTCAAGTACCCATTATTCTATTTTTTAAAAAAAACTATGCTGTTATGTAGCACACATTCCCCGTGCGAAAACTTTGCTTGACCTAAATTAGATCGCTACCAGACGGAAGCATTTGTTGTGGGCGTGATATAAATTCTCTTTGATGTTTCTTATTTATCACCACTGCCAATTACACATTATGTCTGTAGTAGTATGTCTCCTGGTATCTTCTCGATAACCCAAGAAATGTAAACAACACGTCCTATTTCTTTTCTGGAAGCATCTTTCGCTACATGTATATAAGGGTTTGACAGATACGGAGAGACTGAGATTCAGATAGATATTATCAACTTTACGAGGCGTGTATTATTCTTTGTGTATGTGTGTGCTCATATGTGCTTGTTTCGCATTTATTAATTGGCACATTGTGTTAACTGTGTACCGGTATAAGATCTACCATACTGTAAGTTGATGATTTGTGATGATATTTCTTTTCTTGTGTAATTACATTCATATTTAATTAAATCTTATTAATTGTACTAGCAACTGTTTTGGGTGTCGTATCTTTACTATTGCTGACTCTATGGCATCCTCCTTTGTTAGGCACTGTTGACAATGAGCCAATAAAATTAATATAGGAGATTAATTTCTCATATTAGAAGCCAGTGCGTAACATATACAAAACAAACGATTCTAATGTACTTTTAGAGAAGATAATAGTGCATGCATACTTTGAAAGTAACATAGAATTCGCTCTCAAGACTCCTGTTGTGTCTGATTTGTCCTGCTTGTAAAAATGAGTTCAGAAAATGTAATCACTTTGTCACTATTTTTTTTTTCTTCAATTTTTTGCATTTTTACATCGGTATTCAGATTAAAACGTTACTATTAGATTGGGTACACTTGAAGCATTTGACAACCTCCCCCCACCACCCCTAAAATTTTTTTAACAGACGAACGGATTGAGAATCTACAAAAGTTTGTAAATGATGTTCCGAGCAAACTGGAGACACTTGTGACTCAATCGAAGAAAGACAATTGCAAGTCTTATAATGCGTGTTTTTTTTTTTAAAAGTCAAATACAAACTATTCAAACACACAATAATTCATTGGTAACAGAATGAAGTTTTACGTATCTCAGTTTTTATTTCAACCTTACATTTTATACAGAATTATTATTCTAACTTTTATACTTTTTAGCCAAATACTTTTTTTTTTAGTTGTATACGAGACCTGTCATAAAGTGAATGACTAAATTAAATGTTAAATGTTAATTTTACAAGAGTATGGGACTTAAAAAGTCTTGTCACTAACGTTACAATTCTTTGTTTTAATCATTTTGTCAACATATTTAATTGTGCTTTATATATTTCAAATAGCCAGTCTAAGTAAAGAAGATATGCAAGCAATGCTACAACAAAGTGAGAAAGCACTTACTGAGCAAGTCAGCAGTGTAATGTCTGGTTTTGAAAAATCGCTGTCGGCAATATCTAAAACAACGACACAGATTCTAAACAAAGAGCGGAAATTTGATGGTAAGTTGACTCCGCACCGTCGCCTATCTTAAATATATCTCTATTAATTTTAGAATTTTGTTAAATTTTATTTTCAAAATTGATTCATATTTATAAATGGGCAAGCTTTTCAGAAGTCTATTCAAATATTTCATTTTTTAATTGAAATATGTCGGAGATCTGTTACTTTTGAGAGAGAAAATGCAAAAAAAAACAAAAGATTTTAGCTAATTTGTACAAATATTTTAATAGCTAACGTCTTCAAGACAATCAACATAAAAAACAAACAAAAGTAACACAAAAATTTTTTTTTAGCTCCTAATGGGCTCTCGGGTCAATATGGTACAAATTTAAGTAAATATGCGTACATTTTAAAGGGTATGAAAATAAAACCAAACAAAATATTTTAAGGAAGAATTAACTTATATCAGCACCATTAAAGATTGTCCGTTTTAAAATAACATTAGAATAAAGTCGTTTGAAGTTAACTAATGTGAATGTACATCACAAGTTAAGTAGATAGAAATTGTTGGAAAGAAAACATATTTATGATCATAGGTTTGTGTTGATAGTTTAAAATAACTGATCTGTCTTATTTCAGAGATTTCTTAAAGTAAAATATAAATATTACCTCGAACGTTTACAATCAAATTTACTTTTACTGTTTAGTTTTTTTTTAACCTATTTTTCATTCTCACTACACATAAATTCTCCTAAATAAAAGAGGTTGACAATGTTTCTTGTTTTTTTTTTGCAATGTTTAGATCATGCGTAGGGTGTACTGTCTGAACATTTGTTTCACAGCTGCTCATTATGTAAAATGACAAAATGTTTTTCCTTTATTTCAGACGTCAAGTAACGTCTGGGCTCCAACACTAAGAAACATTTTTGGGAACCCAAGATGCGACCATCAACACATTTCAAGCGCTCTTGTTAAAGCTACCTAAATTTTTTGAAATTATGATATATATATATATATATATATATATATATATATATTTATAAATTTATATATTTGTATTTATATTATGTTTCTATTGAATATGTATTATGTAATTTATTGTTGTAATTAAATTAATTTAATAAGTGTATGTTTACCAATAATTAAAATTGTTCATTTAAAGCCTAATGAAATTTATGATTTCCAATAACACCCAACTTTTAACTAGCATAAATTATTTCCCTGTTTTTAAGACAAAACTTTAAGACTAGCTTTTGTATTATTGGGATACTTATTTTATATTTTTTGTTTGAAATATAACACGGTTTACATGTCGACATACTGATATATCTTTTACACATATGGTATTCTAAGATAAATTATTGTTATCAAATTAAGTATATGTGAAAATTAAATTATAATTTATTTATTACATTGAGAGAAAATTAAAATTTAAGAGTACAGAAATTAAATATTTTATATGTGCAAGAATTATGTAAGATGAGAGATATATGTAATAATTTTAATAAGTCATACAGTGTTTAAATCTCTTTCAATATTTATCGAAAAAAAAAGAAACAATGATATGTATGCATTATAACTAATTAACTCTCAAATACATTCGGAGCGTCATGCAGTTTCAACCAAAAGCATTATAACATATGCATGACACATATTAAAAATATTTGTATCAATCAACTTTTTTAATAGTTTTTAAATAAAAATAAAAATCCTTGCTAGAGTGTAAGAATGCATTTAAATGTACACATTATTTGTTTGTTTAGTTTGTAATTTTAGATCATAGTAAATAGCGCACAATTTCATTTGAAAATAAACCTATTATTTCATTACATAAAGTTTGCATCTTTAAAGTAGTTTTTAGTAAATAAATATTGTCTAGAAAATTAGTGAACAGGTAAAAAATAGAAATACAAATGCTTGCTGTTTTTATCCATTGAGAATTATACTTTAGGTGCATAGTTTTTATTAAAAAAATGTAAACAAAGTTTCGAAACATTTATACAATTTCACCATCCCTCAAAACTATTCATTTGAGTAGAGAGGGTATATTCAATAAGAGATATTAAATATTTTGCTTTAATATAACGAATTTTGTTAAATCCTTTTAAAATATTTAATTATTTTATTAAAAAATTACCTCCCTTCAGCATTTCTTTATATATATATAAATATAAATTATATATATATATATGCATATAAATAAATATGTTCCGTATGCGCTCCTATACAATTCATCCTATTGTGGCTGATTGTGTTTTTGAAATAAACATTTTTATTATTATTATTATTGTATTTACTAAATGCACAAGCACAGGCAAATCTTTTCTCATTTCACATTTTTTGGCAACCATACGATCACGAAAAGGTATTGGCCTGGCTATCTCATCATCTGGGATTGCAGTAACTCTCTTGGATGTTGGCCGAAAAGCTCATTTTTAACGCTTTATTAATTAATTGCAATAATATAAAAACTTTATTCTTTTAATCTACTTAAGGGTTTTAAAACCACACTTCTATAAGAAATTCAGAAGAATTAATTTTTTCCTATTGAATTAAGACATCTACGCTCAGTTCTGGCGATCAAATTTTCTTCCAATTGTGGTCAAATTTATTTTTGAACGGACTATGTTGGAACATATTTGACGAAAATTTGATCACGTGACCTGAGCATAAGAAGCACACGTGCAAACTCCCAAACCGACATAAGATTTGTTTCTTGTAAAATAATCTGGTACTAATAATGTGGATATTGCTAAAGTTTATTTACATTTTTCTCTATAAATCTATTCATGTTAAGCGTTAATAAATGAAATGAAAAAAGTGTATTCAACACCGAGATATCACCTTCTAAGACATTCAAAGGATCTCTTCGCGTCTTTATTAATCGGGTGCCCTACTGTGGACATGACATCCAGAGTAGGCGTGGATCAAAAAAGTAGAGCAAGATCACTTGCTTGTCTTATACTGGTTCAATGTAACGAAATACGTATAGTCAATAATGTGTTGTAATACACTATTGTTATTTATTACAGACTTATTACAGTGGATAATCTATGTAAAATATCTTGACGTGTTAAACACATCAGACATGTAGAATACGATAGATGAGTTTTGCTATTTTTTTATGATGCAGACGCATAGAAAACGACATATAAGGTTTGCTATTTCTAAAGATGCAGACACATAGAAAAGCCAAATGAGTTTAACTACATCTTAATGATGCAGAAAACAATAGACAAGTTTTTTTATCATAATATGCAGAAAATCATTTTAAATATCTCATAATATTTATGCATTTTTTTGTTTAAATATAAATTTGTTCCAGCATTGAAATATGTTGTCCACTCGGCTATGACTCTCCTGTGAATGAAAGCAAGGTAACGTATTGTTATATTTGTTATTTTAAAACGTGTACGTTATTCTTTAACATAATGTAACCCCTTTCAAAACCATGCACAGTTCCATCGCGGACCCCCCTGAAACATAGGAGCCTGAATGATCAATACATTAATCGTGGACCCTCAAAATATAGAAGAAGAAGAAGATTTACATATTAGATTAGCTCTTTAACATTAAGAAAAATAAAGATTTTTAAAAATGACATTTTTTGCGCCATATAAATTTAATGTAGAATACTTTCATTCAGAACGCCCTCAGAATTTCTCTATTGCCATTTGAAAAAAAACAACAAAGAAAGCAAACTAAACCGCCACCCCCCCCCCCCCCCCGTCACTCTGTAAACATTTTAAATTACTCACCTCCTTCATATCTCTCTTTATTCAGTATGCGTCTCGCTAAACCAGTGAGAGTTGTCAACATTTTTTCTGTTTTCTCTGAACGCTCCTGGATCATTCTGTCTATGTCTTCTTTTCCAGGTTTTTCCTCTGGGGTAACACATCAAATAGATAATTTTTTTTTTTTTTTTAAAACACCGAGTGATGTGAGGAACAAAAACTATGAGAAACACCTCTGTTTTATAAATATGGCGATAAAGATTACGGTAGTTAATCTATGTACGAAAGTTGTACAAGTTCATCAACTTGAATTATGAAGAATAATGCACAATGGATATAATATGTTAAATAACGATGGCTAGTTCTTATCTGTAAAAAAACAACGTTTGCATTTACTCATATCCCGTCCGATTTTAAAAACAAAATATGCACGAAATAGTATCTCATCTTTATCCAAGCGCTAACATTCCCTTTTAAAAATAAAAATAAAACCCATATATTTCCAAATAAAAAGAAAAATATTTTATTGTTGTTGTTTTTTTAACGTTAACCAACATTTAAAATGAAAACTGTAGCTTCCTCGATGACCATAATTCATACCTTGGAGAACCACTAGCTTTTCAAGCAAATCCTTGTCGTTTTTCTTTTGCCGAACCTTCAGGGTTCTCACGTTTTTGTTCAATATCTCTAATTCACCGTCCTTCTTTGCCTGCTTCTCTTTCAGATCTTCCACGTCTATACCAACTTCATTAGTCGCTTGCAATATTTTTTCGAAGTTTATTTTGTTGTCTTCCATCTTCATCTCCGAAGTCCTGATTTGGTCTGATCAAATAAAAATGGTAACACTTAATTAAAAATAAAATATTTAACCCAAGGTTTAGCTTTCGTTCACGGAATCACTCTGTTATATTTATACTCGCTGTATCCCGCTAAAAAATGGCAGTCGCTTTAAGTGGATTTCCCATCTACAAAAGTTAACTGACAAAGCATGCATTCAAGAAGCGCACCTGACACGATTCCCAATTGTGTTCTATAGCTCTCCTGGTACGCCACCGCCAGTTAACTCAATTAACGTTATAATTAATACTCCCCTCCACCCCCAAAACACTTTTACATAGCAGATTTATTTTAGCCTAATTAAGTTGAGACTATTTCATTTTAAAAAAAAAGAAAATGTTACGCACCAGACGCTCTTGCGTTATTTTTAAAATCTCATTTAGCGCAGTTGTTAGGAATCCTAATTCATAAAAGAAAAATCAGCCCTATTTACTAGCCTTAGTGGCATTGGGACATGGTGATCGATGCTTTTTTTATCTTGCAATGAAAATGAGTACTATCGGTTTTTGTAATTTCTTGTAAACAAACTTCATTTGCCGGAGATGGCCAGTAAATAAAGTTCATTGTGATTTGACGCTAAATCGCATATACGGTAAATAATTGTATCAATATGTCTTTGGTCTTTTTAGGAATTAATTTAATTTCTTTGAATCCAGTTTTCAAAGCAGACCTGATAACAGGAATGACAAACCCGTCGGCCTGGTACTTTAAATAATGAAGGTATGGAAATAGGACACGTGTAAAGTACCAGAGTACGCTAAAGCTTCAAATTGAGACTTTTTTTTTTTAAAATTACCTCCGTTATTATCTCATACGTTACATTATTTATACATGCATTCTTTTACATCCTACAATCTTTTGAATAGCACAAACATTTCAGTTTTGGAAAACCCTACTTCAGGCCATAACATAGCACACATGGGTTGGGACGGTGTAGATTCTGGACACTAACGATGCTAAAAACTTCTAGATCAGGGGTCGGGGACCTATGGCTCGCGAGCCAGATGTGGCTCTATTGATGGCTGCATCTGGCGTGCAGACAAATGATCGATTATAAAAATAAAAGTCGCATTAATGATAAGAAACACACATTATTGATCAACAGCATAACAATGTTATTAAAAGAACTCAGAGACATAATTACGGCATTTTTAGTGTTGAAATTACACAAAATGCACACATTTACTTGAATTTTTAGTTTTAAACATAATGTATGGCACTCACAAAATTACTTTTCAAAATATGTGGTGTCCTTGGCTCTCTCAGACAAAAAGGTTCCCCGACCCCTGACCTAAATGAACTCAGTATTGCTGTTCCAATTTTAAAAATCAAACAGAACAATGAAAATTGGATGTTATCTTGCCAGATAGGTCATGACTTCTGGACATAAATAAACAGTGTTTCTCTCAGAAATTTTCCCCGGGGGGGGGGGGGGGGCACTCTATATTTTGGGGGGGGAAGATTTTCGGGGGAGGGCAGTGCCATCAGTTCCAGTTGATTTATTGTTGGACATATTTTTTCTCCGGGGGGGGGGCTTGGCTTTCCCCTGGGGGCACAGCCCCACCCCCCCGAAAGAAACCCTGTAAATAAATCTGAAAGTTATGCTTTAAAAAAACAATAACAATCTAGCCTTATTGGGTATGTTTTGTTATTCATCATTCACAAATAGCTAAGGTGATTTTTATACAATAATTTACCTTTAATTTGGATAAGTTGGTCTGACAGCTTCTGATCTTGTTGACGTGACTGATTCGTTGAACTGTCAACGGACAGCTGTAAATCTTTGATTGCATTCTGTGTCTTTTCAAGTTCACTAACACTCAAACCTGAGACACGAGGGTATGCGATCGTCAAAGACATGCAAGGAAAAAAACTGAGTGGGCCAGAGCGACCCATTAAACGATATACACTACAATGCAATGAAATAATAAGCAAATAGCTTTGTAACATTTTAGTTATCCTCATGAATTTTTTTCAAGATCTGATTCAGGCAAGTTGTTTTATCACAAATATACACTTCATAATCTTTTCATGTCAAATAAGACAAATCTTGAAATGTATTATAAATTACAAAATATTTACCTCTTTATAATTTTTATAACATTGATTCACACGACGTTATTATGTTCCTTACTTTAGCAAATACAAAATAAAAATTCAGATAATTAATAACATGGTTTTATGCTAATATCCAATGTCAAATTAATGCTCTTAAAAGTATATTGAAATAGTGGAACTAAATATATATAAAAAAACAAATGAAGCAGAAGTTATTTTTTTTAAGGAAATTGTACAATCAACTGTAATAAATAATGATTTATGTTTTTTTAGCACCAATATTATCTTTCCCTTTGATACTCATTGGATAAAAGTATGACGCGAATCTTTTTAAAAATAATTTATATTTTCACAAACTCTTACTTTTTACTGTGTTAAGTTTTTTCGCTCCTAGCAATGTATCCATGTTACGACTGGATTTCTGGAACATGTCCTGTATTTGTGCAATTTTTCTCTCTAAGGGGACAAAGAATTAATTAATGAATCTTAATAAATAATTTTGTGCTCGATTTTTTTTTTAATGACAAAACAATAAGAAATTGGAATATAATGATTACACATGAAATATTCCAACGCAAGTTTATTTTATATGTAAAAAAAATCAACATATTGAATCTACATAAGTTGCAATTGTTTCATACTAATAGCTCTGTGCGCGTTTATACAAAATATAATTAATAGACATGATTTGAAGTCTTTTAAATTAGTATTTAATACATTAGAATAAGATGCTATTGCATAAGAGTTATGTAGCAATCCATTAAAAAATACACGAAAATATTAAATTAAATATTATAGTTGTATCTATAAAAAAATTAAAGCAGTAAAAATTCATTAAAATTTAAAATATATTATTACGCATTTCGTCTAATTCTGTTTTTGATTCCGTCTGCCATCTTTCTACGACACCCCTCTGTCTGAAATGAATAAACATGCCTATAGTAGGATTTATTATTTTAAGACAGGTCTCTCCAGCACTCGAATGTATAAAAACAATAATCAAACCAAATAGAAACGGAACGCTTTTGACAGAAATGTTTCCATTATTTGTTCTCTGGTTAACCCTTTAATACCGATTAATCACATGTGGGAGAATATACTCCGGAAAGATATGGACATATAATGGATGAATATGGAAGGACTATACGAACAAATCAGGAATTGAATAGTCTATACCAGGATCCCACGCAAGTAGCAGAAATAAAAAAAAAATGGCAGATTGTGCTGGCGAGACACTTAGAAAAAAAAAAAAGGGGGGGGGGGAAAAAACAAAAAAAAAAAAAAAAAATGGGAGGTTGGGGGGGCGAAACAATAAAAAAAAAAAAAAAGGGGGGGGGGGACACAACCAAAATCAAAGATGAAAATGGCTTAAAGAAAGACATAGGCTTAGATTCATCTATGATGTGGAAAACGATGTACAGCAGCTGGGAATCAATGAATTGAAAAGAAAAGGATCAATTAGGTCTGAATGGAAGGAAGTGGTGAGGCAGACCAACGCCTTACATGGGCTGTAGTGCCACAGGAATGGATGTATTGATTTTAAATTTCCGATACATGTTTGAAAATAGTGGTGGGGGCGCATAAAATAACGCATATGGATAACAGGGCCACCAAATTGATTTATGTATTTTTATTTTATTTTTTTAAAATCCTATTTAAATAATACCTTTGTTCGTCTGCTATAACCCTATTCAGCTCATCAGTTGTGTCTTGAAATGTGCTAAGCAGCATATCGAGATTTTGCTTTCCTAATATGTATTGGTAGGAATGTATAGAAAGTTGTTATTAATTGAACATAAATAAGGTGTTTCACAAGTTAAAATAAACAATTAAAAGAAACAAAACAACTAATGCATTTAAAATTAAAGTATTTTTCTAATAGTGGTACTCTTTTTTAACGTTACACGATATCAAATAGTACGAAAATGCAATTAACACCACACACATTTTTATTGTTTTAAAACATGTTGAACTAATTTGTAAAAAAAAAAAAAAATATCTCTGTAATTAAGTGCATAACTATAATTTCGGAAGTTATTTTAATTTTTCATTAATTTGATTGTGTATTTAAAGAAACATCTGCCTAATTATTAATACAAACATTAATTAAACACCTCTGTTAATATAAAATATGCAAACAATTATCTTAATCAAATAATAAAAGCCTCCCTACCACTCCTCTTGTATGTGTCCAAACGTTTGAAAAAGCTGTAATAATATGTTAAATAAATTATAAAGTTAAACAAAGAGTGTACTGTTTTGTTTCTTCAATGTTGCATTCAAAAACAATATCCCCTTGAAAAAAGTGAACGTGAAGCTTTTAAATTTAAAGTTGTAAGTAAAGAATAAATCTTCATCTCATTCCCCCCAACCCCCCCCCCCCAAGAAATCGATAAGTCCTTTAGCTTTTTGCTAAAAAGGACATTATTGTGTTATTGTCGGGATTAAACATTTGCAACAAGTTAATCAAGTGAAATTTTAGCAGCATGTGCCATTCTGTGGATCATTGAAGTTTAACTAAATTTTCTTTTCTGGACACAAAGCTGGTATGGCTAAATGTGACCGTTTGGTCTTAAAAGTAAATGATATTTCACCATTTTTTTACAAGATCTGGTGTACATAGTGGATGTCGTGTCCCAGGATTGTTGGTAACACTTTAGGAAACTAACTTACCTTAGTTTACAACGAAAACAAAAAATTGCAGTTGAGCGGCACAAATTAATTTCATAATAAAAATCTGAACCTTCTATTTAAACCTATACATTTATATTTAGTTTAAAAACATAATTTTTCTAGTAATTGTTAGACTTACCGTCCATCATCAATTTGATGCTTAAGATAAAGTACAACATCTTTTTCAAAGACCTCGTCGCATTCTGGAGGTGCCGCACTGACTTGATCTATTGAAATCAAAATTGATTAATAACTAAGGATTTATTCATTTTTTAATGCGTATTATTTGTTTTAATTTGATCTTATTTGTTATTATTATAATCATTCAGATCGAGTGGTCATTTGGGCTCGGGCCTCTCGGCCTGTGGTCATTGTGAAGAATGCACACACTCTCCACAGATGGTCTTCATTTGAATTTAGGTCGTTGCCTGTTGTTTATGGTAGCGTAATGCTGCTTCAATAGCAGTCGCTTTTGCTACATAATTACTGCAGTTCTCCCCTTTGTGTTGCAAAGCTCATCTCATTATTGGTTTTTGTATTCTATTCTTAAACAATTGCCTAGCCTCAATGCATGTTCCTTTGAAAACCAACCCATCTGTGTAAATTTGTATTATATCCTTTAGATAGGATGCTATAATTTTGTATTCTAAAGCTATTACTGTCTGTATTGTTATTTTCTGTTATTTTGATGTGGTCTGTTTTGATACATGGCATTTATAAATGTTGGATTAAGAATCCGTACTGTGTACAATTTGCAAGTTTCTCTGTCTGTTGGTGGTCAGAACTTTGTTGTTGTTTTTTTTAATTTCTTATTCCCGATAAAGGCTTTGTATATTTTAAAATCATTATTTATAATTCGTAAATACATTTATGAATATAAAACACGGTGATGTAGACCCCCAAAAGATTTATTTTTTTAGAAACTTCATCGGCCAACTCACTGTTGAAACATTGTTTGCAGTTGATCATATACAAGATGATGGGTAGAAAGAAAAGTGGTGGCTGCAGGATTAGAGCTTGATCATACTCAATGACGAGCTGAAACATTTGGTGATTCCAGATGTGGAGTGATCTTAGTTCAATATCAGTGATTATTGAACTGAAACAAATTTAAAACAAAAATAATAATCTGTTTTACAGTTTTATCTTTCTTATTTTGTTATTATATTTAAAAACAAATTTCAGATTTATAAATTATTCAGTAACACCCAACAATAATGTTTCGAAACGACTCAATGTAATGGCATTCTTTCTAGAAAGATACTTAATTTTTTTTTTAATTAAGCCCATACTTCGTGTAATCTGGATTAAAATATGTGTTCGTTGTGTGTGTAAGACATTTTAAAGTAGATACTTAATTTTATTATTATTATCAGACTTCGTATAATCAGGAATACAGCTTTTTTTTTAAAAAATAAAAATATTCATTAACCAAAAAAAAAAAGAACGAACAAATTGGACAACTTTTAAGTCGGCCATGAAGTACACATGGATGTAAACTTTAAAGATGCTCTTTAATCAAAACACATCAAAAACATTATTTCAAATCTAACAACTTCACTAGTTTGTTTCTATCTCTTTCACAATTTATATGACATGTTGAGCTCTCTTGGAGTTGGATGTGCAGGATAGGCATTACATACACCGTTAGACGGTGCAAGGACTGGTTTAGTGTAAACTGAAACTAAAATGTAACATGCTCAATGACGGGCTGAAACATTGCCAGCTGCCTTCCGACCCCAATTTCCTAGCATCATCGCTGAGTGGCCCTTGCAGCCATTGAAATATCCTCTTCAAAACCATCCACACAAACATCGCTAACCCCCTCTACAAACAGAGGTACCAGAATGATCATATTATTTATTTTTTTTAAATACATATATATATAATATATATATATATATATATATATATATATAAACAGAGATTCACTTAACATGTGTGCCCTATCAATAATTCGTTGTTACAATCAACATTTAAATATCTTTTTGATTTGTATAATATAAATTCATATTTAGCATAATGTGATTGACTGACGGAATCTGGAAATTAATCCATAGTAGGCTCAGCCCTTTATCTATTTGGATTTTAATTAGATCATATGACAGTGGATCTTAAACTTACTTGAATTTCGCTATGATCAAATTGAAGAGCATCAGGTTGACAAGGACTATAAAGACACCCAAAACAATCGGCACGAAATATCTACCGACTTCTGATGGGCATCTCGGCTGCAGGTAATTTTTGTACAACTCAGGGTCGTTCGTACAGGTTGCATTACTGGTATCTGTTAATGTTCAAGTATGTATCAACATGTTTCTTGTACGTTTGTCTGTAGGTTATAGGGTTGTTAAATCTCAAATAAACACGTCATAAACACACTTCAAAATCAAGAGTAAAATACTGGAGGAGTTTGATCGTTAAGAAAGAAAAATATTCAAAACAAAACTGTCTTTAACAATGGTAAATGATTAATATGAAATTTAATAGCTGTATTTCTAACTAATTAGACTCATGGCGATTGTTCTAGGGTACCTTGGTTTTGTATTTCTAACTAATTAGACTCCTTGCGATTGTTCTAGGGTACCTTGGTTTTGTATTTCTAACTAATTAGACTCATGGCGATTGTTCTAGGGTACCTTGGTTTTGTATTTCTAACTAATTAGACTCCTTGCGATTGTTCTAGGGTACCTTGGTTTTGTATTTCTAACTAATTAGACTCCTTGCGATTGTTCTAGGGTACCTTGGTTTTGTATTTCTAACTAATTAGACTCATGGCGATTGTTCAAGGGTACTTTGGTTTTGTACTTCTAACTAATTAGACTCATGGCGATAGTTCTAGGTTACCTTGGTTTTGTACTTCTAACTAATTAGACTCATGGCGATAGTTCTAGGGTACCTTGGTTTTGTACTTCTAACTAATTAGACTCATGGCGATTGTTCTAGGGTACCTTGGTTTTCAATCTCGTCTAAATGGTAATCACCAAACATGCCCCAAAATGCTTTGCGCGACACAAAATACAACAACTTCCAGTTAATCTCAGAGTTGGGGTTGAGGACTGCCTCCGAGGAGACCACATAGGCCAAGAAACAAATCAGTAATATCACAAGGAACTTTGTCATCGTTGAGGTCTGTTTTTGTTAGAACAATTTAGGATGTTATCAAATTTATTGCAACATTATATGAAGTACAGCATATGTGTGCATATACATCACACAAAGCGTGTTTGAAGAGGTTACAGTTACACACACATATATATATATATATGCATATGCAGATAATTTAACATTTGTAAATGTGTGACTTTTTTTTATTTGCCGTAAGACAAATCGCTCTTAGCCATATGCAAGCTCCTATTGTGATGATAGAAATGCTTCATAAAAATCATTCTTCAATATATACTAATTTACACACAAAAAACAACTTTAAATCTATAGATTTACCTACCATTCCAATCATCATGGCTATCAGAGGTCCAAGAAACTCACTTCCATAACAATATTTCAAAAGCCGTAAGGCAAATAAAATATAATCCAGGCTGTAAAACACGCGAGCTGGCTCCATTAAATCCTTATTGTCGGACAATTCCTTTGCGGCAACCCTCAAACCGAATGCCAGAAGGTAGAAGAGCAAAGAAGATACATCGAGTATGCAGAACACATCATCAATTCGGAAACTGCCCGTAATCTAAAGAACAGATATAAATTAAAAAATATAAAGATTTTTTTTTACATTTTCAATTATTTAAAAAAAAATATTATGTTAAAGCATTTTAAAGTATTTGAAATTTAATCAAGTTATATTGTATCATTTTCAAATTAGGTCGACACAAACAGAATATCAAATTAAAAATAGAAAATGTCAAATTCAAATGAACAATTTTTTTTTTTTTTTTTTAAAATCAATATATCTTTAATAATATTCATGCGATGCAGCATGCAGCAGAGTTAATAGAAGACTCCTTATTTACTGCGTAGTGATCTCAGAGGTGTATTTAATATATATATATATATATATATATATATATATATATATTCAAGGCTGATAAAATACATAGCAGACTTACCCATGAAAGAATCAACTGCAAGATGAATATGCCAATCCAAGCCACCAAAAGCCACTCCAGCCAATGATAAGTCCCTGATTCTAGTTGTGACAGCAGCAGAATACCATAAAATCCAAGAAATATTGTGTAGAAAACCTGCACCATGAAATTCAATAGCTTGGCACAATTAATGGACTTGGAAATAATAAAGATAGTTGGTTTTTTTTAATAATGCTGAAATAATGTAAAAAATTAAGTAATTCATGCTCAATGATAATAAATAGACGCTATTTTGTAGGTAATTAACTTTAGACCTCACACATCATACAAATAAAAATACACGAATACCGAAATAGAATTACTCCAATATCTAAATTGAATTACCACAATACCTTAAAAACTATTTTAAAATCATTATCTATTGACCTACCAGGTTATAAGTAAATTTGGCAACAGGCGCACTAAATTTTCTTTGAACTATCTCTTTTATTGTTCCTGTCTTTGAATAACTGAAATAATAATAAACCAATAATTTTTAAGAAAATAAGTTAAAGAGTTAAATTATTTTGTTTAAACTTTGTTTGAACAACTTGGAACACATGCGTCTATTTTAAATTCCCCAAATAATATTGGGCAATCATTACCACTTTAAAAAAGTGCAACAATGAAGACATCTAGTTGCAAGATTAATTTTCTTTGTAACATCGTTGTCAAAATGTGGATTTCTAGTCAATTTTCGCGTTTGCTTTCGTTAAAACAAAAAAACAAACAAAAAAAAACTAGTAACATCATACAAAAAGATGAAGGAAATCCCTGTTGATAGAGACCTACATGTTGGTATTGCAGATATCAACATATTAAAGAAGAGATTTAAAATTCGGAACGGAGGGGAGAAATAAATACATTTCAAAGGATTAAATGGGAGATAAAATAAGGTCATTAGAAAAAGGTATCATGTATCATTAATTAGAACTGTAAATTATACTTACTTGTTTCCTTCAAATTTCTGTTAGAAAAAGTTAAATTATTGTCAAAAATATTAGTGCATAAAGGTATACATTTTACAACATTGATTTTAATGCTGGCTTAAAAAAAGTTTCATAAAATAAATTGTGTGCACACCTTAAGGAAATAATAAAAATTTATGCAGCTAAAATGAATTAAATAGCTAAGAATTTTGTTTTCAAATTATCAAATATTAGAGCTGTCATCTTGACCCACATGTCCGTTCCAGATGCACTCCCTCATATTAACAAGCGGTGCTTCGGAGAGAAATTTCTTATTGCTTGTTGCTAGAGCAATCTGAATACAACTGGCACTTCCCCATTCCGGAATTTGTTGTTTCAGCATCTTGAACGTTTCTGGCCTGCTTTTATAGTAACTGTTGTTGACTGCCTCAATTAAGAGTTTGCGATATGTTCTGTTTGAAAAAAATAAATACATAAATAAATAATCTTTAAGAACTACTTAACACATTTGATGTGTGTTAAGTATTTAGAAAGGACAAACACTATGACTTGATATTCTGTATTTTAAACAGGAATAAAACTTACGTCATATTCTCTTTTAAAACTGTAACCTTTCCTTGGGTAGACTTCTTTAAACTCTTGGAGATCCCGTATGCTATCAAGGCTGCATGAATCGGGTGCTTAGAAAATGTATGTAGCAATAACTATCAGTATGGCTGACATTTCCTTTAAAAGGTGCATACATATATATTTCTATTAAGATAAAATAATTTAAGATTCTTAATTGATCCAAATAAATAGAAATGTTTTCTTTTTAAAAAAAATTACATTGTATGTTTTCGTTTTCAGCCAGTAAATAAATACATATTTATACACAGACAGCACGTTATAATTATAACAATTTACACAGGAGACATTTAAGTATTTCTCTAGCTCAGAAATCACAACAAATGAACTGCTTAAGTTACAAGAACGACTTAATTAGTGATCACATCGATTTGGTACCACTGGGTGCGCACGCTGGTAAACTGAAGCAGACTGGGCAACAAAAGAATTGGTACATCTTTCGGTCGTTTATTTATAAGAAACAATTCGGCCTGATCGAGCTAATCTTAGCTATCTTTGATAAATGTGTGTGGATGTAACTTTCTCATTTTGTAAGCTTTACAATATTATTTTCTTCAAATATTTCCTCAAATATTTCCAGCGAAATATGCATCATTAGCAACACAGAGCATCATAATTAGTCAGTTCTTAAGAGATATTTCTAAAATTTAATTGACTTTATCAATGATCATCACTGATTTTTTTCATCAATAATTTCTTTGGCGATCAAGTCCTTAAAGAATAATACAGATTATGACACTTCTTCCGTTAGTGTGAGGAAAATATATGACTATTCTGCACTAGTCTTTAACAGAAAATAAAACTCATTATTACATTGTAATACATATTGTAAATTGTATTTAAAATATAAATTTTCTATTTTTAAAATCGAAATATTTTATTCCCCATATTATTCCATCTCCCCCCTTGGGAGTCCCAGGGTCCCCTTAGAGATGCCTAGTTTCCCCATCCCTCAAATCCCTGAAGTCTTTCAGTGATTCCTGACCTTTACTCCCACACCAAAATTTGAGAACCACTGCTCTAAATAGCTATTTTCTATAATAATGAAATGTAATACTTACTCGAACAAGTGTCCAATATAGAAGCGATGTTTCCAGCTTCATCTCAAATACAGAATCCACAAATAACAGATCAGCCATGTCAAAAGATTCCTCTATAAATTTGAAAAAGATGTTTCATGTCAATTTATATTATCTATTTTAAAGCTTGCCTCACTGTGGCCATATACTATCTTGATTAAAACTTACTACTTGATGAGTTGACAAGACGAATTATTTTGGAGTATTTCTATAATCGTTAAAATTATTTCAAAATGAATTTATTTAGATAATAATGCGCCGCATCAAAGAAGCGGAACTAAAAAAAAAAAAATCCATGGTTGAGAAACGTTGGTGGTTTTTATAGCAAAATACATTTTATTTTAGTTGGACTTAATATTAATATAATTTTTATCTCCATCATTCAACCGGTGGAGCAAATAAAATTGAAAAATAAATTGTTTTTTTTTTAAAATAAGAAAATAAATAAAGTAAATAAATAAAATAAAACTTTTTCCAATCATTTAACACTTAACATTTCTTTTAAAAAATTAATAAAATGTAAGAAACATGGAAACGTGTCATATGAGATTGAGATAAGACATATATTGAATATAGAATACATGAATCAAGAAAAAAAAAAATTAATCAATAATTTTTAAACACATAGCACTTTAAAATATATTTTTTTTACCCGTTTTCTCCAAGAAAGATTTTCCTGCCAAAGGTCTTATCTTTTTAAAAACGTCGCGGCAAATACCAACTAACGTCAGACCCTGTAATAATAATCGATAATTGAATACATTGAGTAAATAAAAATAGGGGAACAGCTGTCACTTTTCTCTGCATTCAATTTGTATCTTTATATCTTATCAAATTTATCACACTCTATAATGGCACTGTAAATCAATAAAATAAATTTAGGTTGTGACTTTAAACATTTTTGGTATTAAAGTTAAGAAATTTTAAAAAAAAATAATTGAATAACTATTTCATTTTATTTTTTTTTTATTGTAAATAAAACCACCACGCCAACCACCACGCCAACCACCACGCCAACCACCACGCCAACCACCACGCCAACCACCATGCCAACCACCACGCCAACCACCACCCCCACCACCATGCCAACCACCACGCCAACCACCACGCCTACCACTACGCCAACCACCACCACCAGGCCAACCACCAGGCCAACCACCACGCCAACCACCACGCCAACCACCACGCCAACCGCCACGCCAACCGCCACGCCAACCGCAACGCCAACACCACCACGCCAACCGCCACACCAACATCCACGCCAACCACCACGCCACCCTAACACTGACAAGCCCCGTCCAACCACTGTAACATTATAAAGATATATATATATATATATATATATATATATATTAATATCCTAAGGTAACACACTTTTCTTAGACTTTAAAAAAAAAAAAAAAAAAGATAAATTATATTTTTTCTTAGGATGAAATAAAATGTGGACTTTCATTAGAAATGTTACCTGGATATATAATTAGAATACGAGGATACCACTTAGTGTTTTGTTTCTTTGAATCCATGGCTACTCATTTCCTGTGTATAGGATTCTCTTCAAATTGATATCTATAACTTTATTCTAATTATCGTGCCATGATGCTATACATGCTACTTCGAATGTCTGTATAGAAACATGACATTTGTATATCATATTGGGAAGCGTTAGAATCATAGAATGATGATATACATTTTATTTCAATTGTGTACATAAAATACAAATATTGATTTTTTATGTTTTACAGCATGTTACCTCTCCGTAGGGATTATTTGCGTCTTGCCATGGTTCCTGTGTGTATTTAAAAAAAAAAAATTATCAACAAGACGTCTCTAGTTATAATATAAAACCAAAAAAATAATATATATGATTACATTTTTTCGCGAGAATGTCATTTCATTTTATAGCGCCATTGACCATCAATCAAATTATTTTTAATTAATAACAATAAAAAAAATATTTTTTTAACTCTATGTAATTTAATATACAGGATTATGCATTTTTCTGAAATAATTTATCGTGTTATAATTTTAAGATTCTTGAAACAATTTTTTTTAAAATTACACCGATATCATACGACAAAATGCCCTAAACACACTCTAGGATTTTGCATCGATACCAAAACTAATTTTAGTGTGTAATTAATTAGAGCTAGCAGAAGTTTCAACATTATTTCCACACAAATCTCAATAGCCGATTATTAAACAACGAATACCTTTTGAAAGAGTGCACAAATAAAATGTTCGTTAACCAACGCCATCAAATTAACGCCATGCTGACTCATGTACGTAAGAAAGTTCTGTCTGTACAATCTCATGGCGAGAAATGCTGCTTTCTCGAGCCACTGCTGAGGAATTTAGTCATTGTTTTTTTTCAGAATTATAGTTTAGATCACTTATTGAAAAAAAATAAATAATGATATAAAAAGAATGTTAGATATATTTTGTTGCTTTATATTTAAAAAAAATATATATCAAAATAGTACAAGTGAAGGTGTTTAAAGAATATTTGAAGTAATTCCCATCATTATTTTAAGTTTCCAAAATGCAGCAATTTATCATGCATTGGCTAATGGGCTTCTTTGGACTCTAATAGAGAGAACCTGGACTGATGCATTCTTAGCTAATGGAAATCCCCCACCACCCCCCCAACTCCCCCAAAAAATAACAACAATAATTGTTTAGAATTACAGTATGCGCGAAAAGAAACAATGCTGAAAGTATCTCAACCTGAGCGCATGGTAAGTAGGGTTTCTTTCAGCTATTTCTCGGGGGTTGGGGGGGGGGAGCCATGTGCCCCCCCCNAAACTCTGAAATGCCCCCCCCCCCTTTTTGGGAAAATCTCTGAAATAATCACTGGTGGTGAGTTGATCAACTGTTCCAAGCTCCAGCAAAACGTGTTACAAGCCGCGAAAAATCAGATATGTTGGGCCGTTGTCGTTGCCAATATGTCTCTCGACTGCGGAGGATGTATTCATCAACCACCATTATTTGGGCTCGCAAGTAAGGGATTTAGTAATTGAGATGGGAGGCAAGGGGGCATGTTTAAAGAAAGATGGCGAAATAATAATTCAAAGCACCATTTAATAAGACTGCATTAAGTAACATGGCTATGCGGCCTTTTGTTACGACATGTTTCCGTTATGGTAGTGTGTTGTGTCCGGTCGTCAAGTAAGTTTTTCAATAACAATGTTCTGTGTTCACAACTGCGAAGAATGTCTTCCAACTGAACGTCAGAAATACGCTTGTTCACCGATTTGTTTTTAGGACACGGTTTCGTACTAGATACAGGTAATATAATGCCTATTAGACCAAGATATGTCAGCCAAAATAAAATATCGTGGACGAATCTAGCTATGGGGTACAAAGATCCATATTTTCATAGGAAAGAGTGGTCCTGCTACAAAATCTTCAAGTCCCTTGACCAAACCGGCACAACTCAAAGTGTAAGCCGAGCCGTGCTGCGTTATGGGAAACTTGTGCGGGCCGTAATACTTAATGAAAAACTTGTGCGGGCCTACAGATGGTTACATAGCGACTCAAACTATGCACTGTTGACAATCACAAGTATGCATTCAAGACGAGCGAGTTAGAGGGCTGCAAGATTTAGCTCATGCTGTATGGCATTTTGAATGTAATGTACCTTGTAACCTAAAACTAATTTAATTACTCTCAGACTCGTACAAGCAGAAATAAACAATAATGATAGTAAATGCTTTATAAATAATTAAAAGGAAATAATAAAACAAAATTAAATAAAAAAGAATGAATAACTACATCATTGATTTAATTAATAAAGGGACTAACAGAAAGCGGAGATGGTATATAATATATATTTTAATATTTCTTACGTTCACAATTGTTTTAGCATACATAGGTAGAAATGAAACAAAAGGAATGTAATAGTTACCATGTCTCTGGAAAGCTCCTTAATAAAAAAATGAGAAGAAAACAATAATAATTTGACATTGAAATATGTGTGTTTCAAGATTGCATGATACTATTATATTTTAACGGGAAAAGAACTTCTTTTCTTTTAAAGTCTTCATTAAAAAAAATACAATAAAGTGAATGTATATTCGTTAATCTCTAATTATAGTCAAAATAAAAAAAAAAAATTAAATCAAAATTACTTGTAAACCTGTCTTGGGCACTTGATCAAACTGATTGAGATATATGCACAGTTGGAAAAGGTTCTGATCCCCAGAGCAAGGGCTGTATGTGACTATTCCACTTTGATGCTCGGTCTGCAGGAAACTTTTAAAATCTGGAAACATTTTTTTTTTTTTTAAAGATTCACATTTAATCGATTTTGTTTACAGACAAAATAATATTTGTGTTCACCTTTGTCATAACTAAAAAGAAAATCTACCCAAACGAGTAAAAGTATAAATATGTAAATGTTTCTAATTATGTTAATATATTACAAGATTTACACATGTTCTATACCATATAAAGGAATGAAACAAGGTTATGCGGAAGCTGGTTTCTTCATTTGTCCTATCTGAATACGAAGGCCCTTTAACCAAAACCATTTTAAAAAAATCTTCCTGCATTTATGACTTGAGCCTTCTCATACCTTGTTCCACTATTTCCTTAAACATAGCTTGATTGCAGTCCTTAATCTTTTATCAATAATAGAGCTCCGTTTATTTCCATCTTCAACTTAATTGTAACATATTGATAACTTTAAGAGATATATCTTTAATTACATTATCTCATAAATAATCCAGTCGTTTAATTTTAGCCGTAAAATGATTGTTGTTAAAATAAATAGTGCTTTGAATATAGAAAGTAACTCAATCTTAAGGCCGTTGTTTAGACATTAGGCGAACTCAATGTAAGCGTCTACTCATTTAATATTTTTAACATAGTTTAAGTTTAAATTATTTTTTACTAAAACATTCGTGAGCAAATCTCTTTAAGTGTTACCTTGAAATATTAATTTTGCAACAGAAAAGCTCTTATTAGTATATTCTTTTTCAAGATCCAAATCAAGAGTTCCCCTATTTGTAGAAAAACGTAAAGGTTAAAATATGATGACGAGAAAAATGACCATAGTTCATTTCTGAAACGGACATGGAATGGGCATGAAACAGATACGTAATCGATCAATAGAGATTCATTTTAACATATCAGATTTATATCTAACTTTACTCTTAAACTGATATGTGATACATAATGTATTTATTAATAACTTTATTTATCGATTCATATTTAATATATATTTTTTTGTAAATTGTTAATTGCTACAATATAACATTGCACAGGGGAGCCAATTGCATAAATAATTTTATCGTTCAATTTTCAAACATTTATTTGATAGCCATTGTGTTTTTATTTAATTAATTAATTTTTGGGGGTTTCTTCTAATTATTTTTATAACAATAATCTTTATCATTAGTGCCTTTAAAATTGATGCGCATAAATCGTGATATTTTGAGTTTCTTTCGATTGACTTTTACATTGAATAAAATTGATTGATTTTCTCAGCTAATTTTAATCATATATCTATGTTTTTGATTCAACTATGTTTCTACTACCGAAGCTAATGCTCAAGTTAACGTCAGTACTTCCAACCATGTGTCTTCTCCTTAGTAAGTTTTTCTTTTGTCAAACAGCTGTCCGAGTAATAGCATTATGGGTCATTCGCTGTCTTCTAAAGTAATTGCGTGTTTTGTTCCAAAAGGCTGTCAGTCCCAGTTGATGGATTTCAAGCCAATAACTTGTCGGCCCTAATTAATGCTTGTCATTTCCACGAGCTGACTTTCCACGGTTAATGTCTTTCGTTCTCTCTCGCTGTCGGTCCCTTTAAATGTCTTTCACTACAACGAGCTGGCTGCCCACAAATATGTCTTAAGTTTCAACGAGATGTCTCTTAAAGTAATTGTGTTTAGAGCCCATGAACTGTCTGGACCCTGTAAAAGTCGTTCATGCCTACAAACTGTCTGCCCCAGATAATGTCTACATCACAACGAACTGATAACCCAAGTAAAATATCTTTCGGTCCCAAGAGCTGTCTCATCAAGAAATTTGGTTTTATCCCCACGAACTATTTGCCCTAGCAAATGTCTTTTGTGCCAATGAGCTATATACACCAATAAATGATTTTGTTTCCCCTTGTTGACTGCCTCCAGTAGATACTTTTCGTGCCCATGACCTTTCTGCCCAAGTAAATGTCATTCGTGCATAGAAGCTGACTGCGCCAGTAAATTCCTTTAGTTCCCACAAACTGACTGTCCCCAGTAACAGTGTTTGGCACACACAACTGTATTTCCTAGTGATGATTCTGTAGTTTATCACAAAAAAGATCCTCCCTCTCATATGGCTTAAGCTGCCAACTTATCGTGTTATCTAAAAATTCTTTTCAAAATTACCACATTATCCTTCTAGCATTTTTAAATATTAAAGAAAGAAACATTAGAGTGTTACCTTATTTTTCCCCCCATCTCCTGAAAAAAATCCAGTAAAAAAAATAAAATAAAAAATTATGTAGTTATCGCTTGTGTGCTTGAATTGTACTTGATATATTTTTCTTCTGGTGTGTCCTGTTTCCTTTTCGAAACCAAACTCCACATGTTTTATACAGTAAAAGTACTGAGTGACCAAAAGCCGGTCATGCATGACTATTGTATTAATAAATAGGAATGGTTTAGGACTCTCTGTGTGACTGTCTGTACGACTATGGGACTGTCTGTGAGACTATCTGTACGACGTTTTTTTTAACGTAATTGTTGGCAGGTAAGGAAGGAGCATGAGTGTCTGTACGCGCACTCTCTAAAAAATAACTGCGCCCGGTATAGTCCTAATTAATAATATTTTTTAACATTTTCTCACTTCAATGGACATAAGCAAAACAATATGCTCTGAGAAGGAAAAAAAACCCCAAAAGATTCTAAGCAATATCTTCGTAATGAGAATTACGTTTCATTTTTAAAACATTCTCTTTAATTATGATCTGCGCTTTTTCCTCCGAACAAGTTTAACGTGAGGAAGAAGCCACCATTTCCCACGTCGCTACCCGACAGATGTGGCCTAGCGTATGTCAGTTAACTAAAACAAATATGCCAGTTTATTTACTTAAATAAAGACAAGATAAAAAGGTTCACAGGGAAGTCGTCGAGCCGGACTGACGTTATTTACATGTGACATGCGCTGGCTTTGCTGGTGCATTGTTAGCACACTGGTGAAAAAACAAATATCTAGATTCCGCATTTACTCGAAGTGTGTAATTTAAAATAAAGATTATTCTTGCTAGACACATTGATCTTGGAATTTGTGTCAGTCAGCACTACGATAATACAATATATATTGTGTATACAAGAATGTATTTTAAATACAGGAACAC